TGATCTCCAGAGGTGCCTTCCAGCCCCTACCAATCTGTGATAAGTAGCAAAACTTCGCATTAATATTTAAATTATTATGCAAAATAGTTAAATGCTTCCAAGCCACTGCCACAATAAAGAAAATAAACAACTTTTATAAATAAATAATTTATAAAGTTATTAAAATATTGCTTAGAATGTAAGGCCTTATGCTGAAAGTTTCCTTTTATTTGAATGACTATTACATACACGTAGGAACAAAGAGATTGAGTGGATACTTTAAAGGGCAAATACTTGAACTGTCAGCTGTGTTTCCAATTACAAGCATGTGCAAGCATATCCAGAGAATCAGTGCACTGAGTTTGTTTTTGTTAAGGCTGACCAAGAGAGAGCAGTTGTGTTTTGGAGTCTGCTAGAGCACATTATTTTTTCTTTTTCTTTTTTTTTAAAAAAAAAAAAAAATTAATGAAAAGCAGATTTTTAGGACTAAAGAGTAATTTACTTGTTTTTCAATAAAAAATGCAAAGTTCAGTGCAGTTGCCTTGAGAAAGTTCAATGAATTGCTTCTTTATCCAATATCTGTCGAGCTACAGAGTGTAAGTGCAAATGAAGCAAACATTGAAAAGGTATTTGTGGACTGTAACTAAATTTTAAGACTTCTATCTCTGCATTTGATTTGGTTTTCTTGTAATAATCTGTTTTAAATTCCTTTTTTTTTAAGTGTTTTTAATTCTAGTGCAAAGGTGAGGAAGACATTTATTGTAAGTTGGATAGCTTTAGTAGAGGATGGTTCATAATTTCTCCCAATTATTTATGCAGGTTGAAAGAAATTGGAAGCAAAATGGAAAAAAAGGGCATGAGAATACACAACATACATTCAGCATGCCAGCACCTTAGACTTGGTCAGCTGAAGGGCAATCACTTTGATATAGTTGTGAGAGATCTCAAACACCACAGTCATGACTCTTCTGCAGATTTGAAAGAGAGAATATCTGAAGCAATGGAAAATGTTGAGGTAAAAAAGCCTCATGGTTGCCAATAATGACCAGAGTTTTAATTCTACGCAGTGAATAATAAAAAAAAAAAAAAAAAGTACTTGTAAAGAAAGTGCTTGTAGTAGCACAATAGTGGCACTGTTTCCCAGTTTTGATGCTTCTTGCTGTTTTGTCTCTCCTGCGTTACTTAAGGAATCAGGAGTAAAGCTGCCTTCCAAGGAGGGACTATAAGTGAATTAATTCTGTGCTGCAGACTGCAGGCCCCAGAGTGGTGCGGCAAGACAGATGGGAAATGTGGGAGCAAATGAGTATGGATATATGAGCTATTGCTGCACAGACCCAAGGCCAACTGAAGTGATGTGTTTCACTGTGGCAGCTGACAGGGTCAAAGAGTATAGTTACATGTGCCAGCTTTTTTTGGTCGTGTGAGGAACACGTATGGTTGGCTCTGGGCATAAATACCTGTGAAATTTTGGCAGCAGAGAAAGAGCATCCCCTGAAATTCAGTAGTTTTTGACTGCTGTTATCCTTAGCCCCCAAAGAAAACCCCATCGTATCAGACATTCTTAAACCACTGAGAAAAGTGAAAGCAAATCATGGAAAGGAAAAAATTTAGGTGTTTTGTATAGCAGTAATTTTCTTGCTCTATCTTTGTCAGTAATAACTGTAATACAAATTATTTTAAGAAAATTAATCCAGGAATAAAGACTTGAATGAAAATAGTGTGAAAAAGCTAAATACATTACATGTATTCTGGGAGTTAATTTTATTGTTGAAAAAAGCATTCAACTGGTACTTTAGTGCATTTCTCTCTCTCTGCTCCATCTGACTTTTTTTTTTTGTTTTGCTGTTTGGAAAATGAACATAAACTCGTATGACTCTGTGTCTTGCTTTATTAGATTTAGCTTACTGGTCAGATGATGAGTGACAAAACCAGCATGTATGTTAATCCAAAATATGGATTTTTCATCTTCCATGAAAACTAAATCGCATCTGGGAGCTATGGATGTCCAAAGCAAGGTTATATAATTTGAACTGAATAACCATTTCCAAAACAGATACCATATTTTTTTCGCTTGTCTACTCCATGCACGCTTACTGTTTTCTAGAAAAGGATGTTCTCATTGGGTCCCATGGCTGTGATTTTACTGCCCACACGTGACCTAGAACTCACCAGGAGACTTAAGATCCCAGTTAGCGGAAGTGCTCACTTCTGGTCTTTACTATTGTAATAATAATAAAACAAATGATCTCATGTGAAAAAAGATTAGTATTTTTAAGAAAAAATGTCCAACAGTGGTTAGTTCATTACCTGTGCTATGCCGCATTTGCTTGAGTAGAGATTTCATAGTTTGGTGCATATAAAACGCTCTATGACTTTGACTTAACCTCTAGTTGCATTTATAATAATTAATTATCTGCAAATAATTTTGTTTCATTTACCTATTTTTTTTAAGTGAAGACAATAGTAGAACTTGATTGTCTTTTTAGATTTTTCTAAATTAGATGCTAAAATATTGTAATGAATCATGAGTTACTATTTTGTTATGTTTTACTTCTGATTAAAAACCCAGTTTGTGTGCATTTTGGATGTAAATGTGGATGTATGCGTGTTGTATACTCAGTCTTACTAATTGTACATGGTACTTTCATGCTTTTAACATATTTATTCTTTATTGTTCTAGACAAAAGGTTTTGTAAATTACTATGGACCTCAACGATTTGGACAAGGACAAAATGTTCAGACAGATCAAATAGGATTGGCTTTACTGAATGAAAAGATGGTATTTTAATTTTTTAGTTTAAGTAGTTACTGTCAAGTTATCATCACATTACTGTTGCAGTGTCTGGTCTGGAGTTGGCCTTCTCGGTGAACGATTTCATTTGGGAAGTAAACCCATATGTGTGCTGGAAGTAATTGCCTGCTCAGTTTTGACAACATAAGCCTGAAGATCTTCATATTGAATCAAAAAATCTTTTTTAAACAGCAGGTGCAGCTTCAAATAGTTCAGAAGTGATTTTTCTGTCTATGGTTGGTATGTGATTGTGATTGTCATCAGGCTGCTTGTCAGAGAAGTGGCTGCATTCCATACAAGGTTTGAACACTGAAGTGAAGCAATCCTTATATAATGTTTATTCATGGTCCTGATTGCCTCTTAGCTTGTAGCCTCTTTATGCTGCTGGGGGTCTGTATACTTGTTAAAAATGTTACAAGATACTGCATAGAATCTTAGGAAAGGATTTGTTTTTTCAATACCACAGTAATTCATCTGCTATATAGAAGAGATTGCTGCTTTCCATTATTCCTTGGCCACTTTCCCAAACTCTTGGTTCTGAGTGACTGCTCCCATGTAAGCTAAGGAGAGCTTATTTCTTAAGTAATAATTCATAAGATAGGAGTCATATACTTTTCAATGCGTATGGTGTAGTACGTGGCACAGGTCTAAAACAGAATCCGACACTACAAAGTCAAATGAATGCTTGGAATATCCTTTTCTTCTAATCTTGTTTTGATTCTGAGAAAAGTCAGGAAAACTTATCCTCCAAATACAAGAAGAGTCAAGATACGAGGGCAGGCCATAAAAGTTACTGTTAATGTATCTGAATTCTGGTACGATAGCAGTTGGCATCAGGTGCCACTCCCTAAAGAGTAATGTTCTAAATCTCTTGTCTTAGCTCGGTTACTTTTTAATTTAAAACATGTAGGAACTAACTATTTATATTAAAAATGTGCCAGTAAGTGCTTGCACAGTCCAATACAGCGGAGGACAAGAACCAGATGTCACAGATTGGTGTAAGTGCTAGCAAACTGTGTGGCTCCACTGGTGTTCAAGTAGCAGAGGTTAGTGTAGTGCTGGCCCTGTCACAGAGTCATCTAACCTATTACGGACCAGTATAAAAATAGGAAAGATTGTTGTCCCTCTGTGTGAAACTGTGGAAAGTGTTCGGTCTAAATTTTGCATGAAACGTGCGGGAGGAAAAGAAGGAAGCTTCCTGTTCAGGCTAGAATGATGGCATTACACAGTGAAGGAGTTCTAGCTGGACATTCAAGAAGAGTGGACTAATTTCTCATAGAGCTTTGAAAGCTGTCTTCTGTGTGACTAAAACCTTTCTTTAGTCTGAGAAGGAACACACCACGTTGTTTTGCTGTTCGTGGCGTCTTCTGTGAGAGGGAAGATTTGACTTCAACCTTAAAGAACTGATATAATTTTGAGAGCTTGCGGAATATGTTAGCACAGAATTAGATGCATGATAGTCTTTTTAGTTACAGTTAGTTATATTTAAATGCAAGAAAATATAAATTATTAATATTGTTCTTTAAAGGTGAAAGCTGTGAAGTTATTCTTCACACCGGAAGATACTGATGACCCTGTAAACAACGCAAAAAGATACTTTCTTCAAACTGGTATGTCCAGTCAAATTGTCTATGTATTTCTTCAGGGTCGGTATTGTGAGGGAGTAAGGTGTTGCTGCGCAGAGAGATACTTTTTGTTCTGCTATGGCTTTATACCACTTACAGCTTATTCTGCAGATCTCAGTAGAGCTGCACAGTTAAAAATTAGATAAGGGTGAGGCCCTAAATGTGCAAACTAATGGAGAATTAATGTACTTCAGGTGCAAGACAGAGGAAACAAACACTGTATAGCATAATGCTGGAAAAGACTAAGGTAATTGTATCAAAGTAGCTTTAGCCTCCTTCCATCTGTCTGCTTTTGGAATAAAAACTTCTCCTCCCTAATAAAGGAAGTACACAGGAGCAAGGCACCCAGCTCATACTGAGCACTTAACACGTGTGAGCATGTAATTTTCTGAGATTTCTACAACAATCTTAACTCTTGTTTTTTTGTGTGTTTGGGCTTTGCTTGTACATCTCTTTAATTATGTATTTTTTCCATGCTTTCCCGTGATCTACCTTCTTTCTGTCTTGAACTAATTTCAACAAAATATGTCAAAGGCATAAGTGTGCTGAGTAAAATATGCTGTTTGTCATATTTATTATTTTTATAATTCAATTTAACTTTCTCTCTAAAACTAAAAATTGGGAGTTGCTCTCCACTTCAAACGTATTTTTTCTTTTCAAATATTCCACATCTATTAGCCTGCTTATCACTGTAGATTGACAGAAAACTGTGAAATATAGCTTCAAGAGAAACAGCTGTTTCATTTCACAAAAAAGATAAGATGAATCGTTCTGTGCTGTACGTTGCTGTATGATGCACGGAAAGACATTAATGTGGACCCTGAAAACAGCTGCTTGCCTCTTCCTGAAAGCAAAAGGTAAAAGGCTATGCAAAAGGCTTTGTCAGATAATCACTTGTAATGAAAAAATATGTAAACAATAAAATTTGAAATATATTACATTTATATTATGTAGTACAAATCTGATTAAATGTATTTCATCTTGATTGAAGCTCAGACTTCCCAGCGGCCAATGCAATTTGTACCTTTAAAATAAAGACAGGGTTTTTTTACCCCCTATGAAATACACATTCTCAAATGATGTGAAGTGAAGGTTTAACGTTCTTTTATAGCTTGGTTTTCACTTTGAGTTACCTGATCTAAAAAAAACTTCGGAGTGATGAAGTAAGTTTCTAAAAAAAAAATAAAATAAAATGCAAACTGGACTGAATAACTGAATGAGAGCTACTTTAGTTTATACTGCATGAAATAGAATAGAATTCATGGGACTGTGTTGGTAGGCATACAAGATGAAGTTTGTCTAACATGACATATTGAGGGAAAAGTCAGCATAAAGAGGTTAGACTGACACCATTTTTCTCTACCTGATTATTTCATCTTCTTAAGTGTATTTTTTCCTGACAGGTAGTAGTTGAAAAATCAGGGATTACTGACATGGTTATTTTTGTTTATCTCAGAAGATGCAAAGGGCGCGCTCATGATGCTGCCAGAATTTAAAGTGAGAGAGAAGATGTTGCTACGAGCTTTAAATCGCTATGGTGTGAATCATGAAGGTTGTACCAAAGGATGGCTCAATATTCCTCATTCCATGCGCATATTCTATGTCCATGCTTATTGCAGTAAAATTTGGAATGAAGCAGCATCGTATAGGCTGAAGATTTACGGTTCAAAAGTTGTTGAGGGTGATCTTGTCTTATCAGAAGAAAATGATGAAAGCGTTTCCCTGAATGACAAGGTGAGTCTCCACAAAATAGTTCTTGTAAAAAAAAACAAAACAAAACAAACCCACCTTAATGCACTTGAATACATATTCAGACATACTCTAATGCTTTTATTTTGGTTCATTCATTAAAATATTTCATATTAGTGACAAAGGTGAAAATAGTGATGTAGAATTTTTGGTTTACCATAAATAGGTGTATTAGTTAGATGTATATTAGCAGCTTTTATCTGTTTTTACTGTTCCTTTTGTTCAAGTGAGAAGCAGGAGCAGAATGTCGGAATTGATATATGTAGGAATTTAGCCTGCATGGTATATAGTGCTCTTAGGATCTGACTAGGGGAAACCTTCAGAGTGGACTCTGGGTGTGCCTGTATTATCAGTCAGTGCAGATCTAAGTCTTGCTCACCAGTTCAGACCTTCAGACCAGGAATGTAAGCCCATGGTGAAAGGTGGCCTTAGACTGAACTGGTAATCTCATTGCAGCTATACAGTCAGAGCATGCTTAGCACAATTTCACTTATTTGGGCAATTAAAACAGATTGATGGTGGGTCTAAACTGTTAGCAGCTGTTCAAAAATGCAGCAGTCTTCTTGGGAAAGTAGTAAAGGGCAAGGGAGTGCTTCTGCTTGCCCACAGCCTGGGTGCTGTGCATGCAGCCATGGGTGAGCCAATGAGCAGAAGCCAGCAGTGGAGTGGCTGGTGCTTGTCACCCTGGTCTCAGGGCTTGTCCATCTGAGAGCCGTCACTTCTTTCAGGATTAGCATACCTTTTTCTTATTGTGGAAGCAATTGAGTCTCTTCTCCCCAGTAACAAGTGCTAGGACAAGAGGAAATGGCCTCACGTTGTGCCAGGGGAGGTTTAGATTAGACATAGGGAAAAATTTGTTTACTGAAAGGGTTGTCAAGCATTGGAACAGGCTGCCCGGGGAAGTGGTTGAGTCACCATCCCTGGAGGTGTTCAAAAGACATGTAGACATGGTGCTTAGGGACATGGTTTAGTGGTGGACTTGGCAGTGCTAGGTTTAGGCTGGACTCGATCTTAAGGGTCTATTCCAACCTAAATAATTCTATGATTATATCTTTCTCCTGATAAAGTAAAGCATAGAATGTTGCAGTGTTTTACTGGATAGTAACCAGGTGTATGCATAGGCAGAATGTATCTCATTTGTTTTGGGTGAACATCTCACAACTTTGAAAGGTTACTGAATAAACTCCAGTCCCTGTAGAGTGGCTTCTGTTTCCATTGTGATTTTTCTTCAATAATATTTTTGAGAGTGAATGTTAATAAAACAAGTAGATCAAATAAAATGAAAAGCAGAGGTATCAAATTCAGTGTTGAGTTATTGAGTTTAATATAGATATATTCCTATTTACTATAAAAAAATTTTCTTAGTATTTTTCCTTTTGCTGAGGTAGCACAAGATTGCATTGGCACAGTTAACTTCACATTCGAAGAATATGAATTTAGAGTGATAGTTTGCTAATTAGTGGTAGCATCAGTAAAGAAATTACTTTATATTAAGCATCTCTACTATTTTTTATACCTGAAATAGATTACTGTCCTTATAGTAGTCAAATAATCTTAGGATCCTTTACGAGTTTGGGAGTACAGTGTATAATTCCTAAAATTAAGTGTATGTTTTATTTTTTAATATTTTTTTTTTTCTTAACTTCTTAAATGTCTTGTCAGGCTCATGTAGTGACTGCTCCAGAAGAGTCAGCTAACAAATACTCTATAAACCAAGTAAGTCTGTATGAAAAATTCTGAGTCGTTGATCTCTTTATATGATTAAAATGTTTTGTTTTAAAAGTAATGTCATTAAATTAACTGGTGCGGTCTTCTTCCGTGCCAGAATGCACATTAAAGAAAACACATGTTATCTAATCTCCACTCTCATAACAAACAGGAGGAAAGAATATTTACTTTGTGATGGAAATAAGTACAGTGTCATTTGCAGTATGGCAATATTTATCTTGAAGTTGAATGTAAATACTCAAAATTTTTTCAGTCTGTTGGGAAAAACATTGAAGAGCAGTTGACATTCTAATTTTTGAAGGTTCAGAGCGCGTAGTTGTGAAGTCTCACATAGGCAACTTAATGTCTTTATTACTGTATCTTTCCCAACAAGCAAGGAAATTCATGTTAGTATGTTTCTAGTTTGTTTTAGGAATCCTGATACATTGATTATTTTTTTTCTGCTTTAACTACATTCAAGATACCTGCCTTGCACAGCTTTATTTCACAAGAAAAGCTGCTGTTTTATTATTTCAGGCCCCAAAACACAAGATTTAGACATTTAAAATTGTAATTGCATTCCTTTAAAGTGGATTTGGTGGGGTTTATTTAAAAAATGTTTGTTGTTTTGGTTTTTTTTGAAGGTGGTTCTTCCAATGGTGGGACACAGTATCAAGTATCCCAGTAATAAAGTTGGGCAATGGTACCATGAAAGACTTTCTAAGGATGAGCTGCACATGTGCAAATTCAGAGTGTCTCCATTACAGCTGAATATACCAGGATGCTACAGACCCATTTTGAAAAATGTTCAGAATCTGTCGTATTTTTTGGAAGGTGGTGAAAAAGAAATCAAAATTGAAGACAGCCATCTGAAAGAATCAGAAGTCTCTCTTCATATATCGTTTGACCTTGATCCTTCGTGTTATGCAACAGTCTGTCTGAGAGAAATAATGAAATGTGACTTTTAAGATTCCAGTTAATGAAAGATTGCAGAAGTATTATACAATGGTGATATTTTGTGTATAATGCAACAAAAATAAGGGAGAATAACAGGTTCAAGCCAGGAACAGGAAAAATTTGTAGATTGAGATTCATACCGATTAGGAAAAAAACCCACTAAAATCCTTTGGAACGTTCCAAAAACATTCCAGACCCTAAATGCAAACCCTTGGATGCATTGGAGTAACACTAGGTGTTATGCCAGACAGGTCTAACAGAACTTAAACCATGGGCTGCAAGCATGAATTTCATATTTGCATAGACATCTGACTTGCAAAATAAAATCCTGGAAAAATGTTTGCAGCAAACCAATGTATCTTTTATTTCATAATAATTTTTTAAAAAATGGTTTATACTAAATGCTGTTCAAGCAGTAATTTTACAGTTTGCAGCCTACAGGTATCCCACTGAAAAGCTGCTGTACTGAGGTTCACTAAATACATTGTGTTTTTCTGTGTTCAGGCACTAGGTGTTAAAGGTAGAAGTCCTGAGTCAACAGTGACAAGTCATCTGATACTTTATCAGACAGTTGATGAATCCGCCAACTGAAGTTAATGCTAAGGATTCCAGGATTAAGAAGTGCATAGCTGTTAGTTAGTGCCTATTCAAATAAGCTCATCAAGACAAAGTGAGTAATTAACATAACTGCAAAACCATTTCTAATAAAACCAAGACCCTGTTTTATTGTTTACAGGATGCAGGCTCTATTCCTGTTACTGTGAAGCCTTATGGTAGCAAAAAAACTATTAATGGAAGCATCCCTGGAAAAAAGCTTTTCTATTTTTTTCTTAATTTAAAAAAAATTAAAAAAGCCGTTAACTGTGATAAAATGAGTGGATTTGTGGAAAAGGAGAGAGCAGAAAATGCCATTTACCTTGACTTTAGCAAGGCATTTGACACTGTCCTACAACACTTGAAATCAAGTTAAGGCATTATGGTCTGGATGGGTGGACAACCAGACGGGTAAAATGTGATTGGATGATGTGGCTTGGAGAGTAGTGGTTCATGGGCCATACCCTACCCGGGGTGAGTACTGCTGGGGTCTCTCCTGGGCCCCATCCTGTTTAATGTCTTTGACAGTGACCTGGAGGAGGGGATGGAGTTCACCTTCATTGAATCTGCAGATGACACCAAATTAAGGGAACATATGGATACTCTGGAGGATCAGGCTGCCATTCAGGGCAACCTGGACACGCTGGAGGAACAGGCCAGCTGAAACCTTACGGCATTCAGCAAGGGCAAACGCAAAGTGCTACCCCTGGGAAAGAAGCACCCCTGCAGCATCCCAGGCTGGGGAGCAGCTCTGCGGGAGCAGCCGTGGGGGCCCGACGGGCAGCAGAACATGGGCCAGCCATGCCCCTTGGCAGCAAGGATGACCAGCAGGCCCCTAGGATGTGTTAGTAGGGACACAGCCAGTACATCAAAGGAAGGGATTATGTCCCATTTTTCAGCAGTTAGACCACATTTAACTTCTACATCCAGTTTTGATCCCCAGCACAAGAAAGTCATCAAAAAACTGGAGCAAGTTCAGCCACAGGCCTCCAAGCTGTTTGGGGACTGGACAACTTGCCGTTTGAGGAGAGGCTGAAGGAACTGTTTTTTTTCAACCTGGAGAAGAGACGGCTTGCGTGGGGAACCAACAGCAGCTCCCCAGTACCTATGGGGAGGTTAGCAAGAAGATGGAGCCAGGCTCTTCATAGTGGTGTGTGACAATGAGCATAAATTGAAATGGGAGATTCAGATTGGTTGAAAGGAAACACTTTTTCCCTGTGAGGACAGTCAGGCAGTGTAACAGGCTGCCTAGAGGCTGTACAGTCTCCATCTGAGGAAGCTTCCAAGACCAAATGGGGTAGAGCTCTGAGCAACCTGGCCTGAGCTCAGAGGCAACCCTGTTTTGTGGAGGCAATTGGACTAGAGACTGGAAATCTCTTCAAACCTGGATTACCGTGTTAGCCTAAGCAGAGTATTGCAAGTGTTTATTCAATCTGTAGATGGCAGTATGATTAAAACTAAAATAGAAAAGTCTAGTCGTTTTTACTGAGCAAGAATTAGTATTATAAATTGAATTCTGTTTATGGCATCAGTCTTTCAGTTGTTGCTAACTGTTGAGTAAGATAAATCTCCCAAGGCTGATAAATAGACCTAGAATTACAGGAATAGGAAAAATAGAAATATAGAAATATGATTCACATGATTTCAATGCTTATATAAAACTATGTAGCAATGAAAGTTCCAGGAAATTCACTGCCTTAAATAAGAGGATTACTCTGTAAGTCTGTCTAAGTAATTAAAAATTTGACCCTTAGCTTTTATATGGGAAAATGGACTGTTGTGCAAACAATAGCTACAGAGCCACTGTAGGCAACTTACGATGCTTGCTCCGTTGTGGTGCTTACTCTACACCTCAAGTTTATGGTATTCAGCCAAACTGAAAAAATCCATTTCCTTGCCACAACCCGTCTGAGACAGCTTTGTTCCTATCTTTGCTTTTCAGTATCACCTCTTCTGTCTTCCACCTGCCCTTAAATTATCCCTCTTCTGGAGAATTATTTTTAACTCAAGTCGTTTTGGTACAGCACAGCTCAAAAAGAGTTGTCCTGTCACCACTGACATGGTAAAGTGCTCCAGTGCAGATAGGAAGCTGGATGCAGTTACAATGACCAGAAGAAATAAATTAGCGCTGAAGTTCTATTTAAAGAGGCTATTGTGGTTGTCTTCGATGTGGCTCAAAACAGCCTTGAAAACCATCTCATCACATGCAAGATTTGAATACAGAAAGTATTAAAAGTTGAGCCTTGATTTGGAAAAACACAAAAGGTCAGATTAAAAGGGTTTTGACTGAAAGGCATGCTATTTTAAAATAAAAGAACAGAAGATGGTGTTAAAAGAGTTCCCTTATAATCATTTTGGGCTCATTTGTCAGTACTGCTATTGAACACTAAAAGGACTAATCTTCTTAAGCAAATCATTCTTTCAGCAACTTTAAGGTGAAAGAGCTAATTATGTGTGTCCATGGGTTAAATTCCTATAGTAGAAATGTTCTAGTAGGGAAAAGTCAGGTTAGCTATTAAGAGTGTTTATATGGTAAACATCATCCTTATTTCAGTGGGCATTTATTTGCAATTCATTCTCGTAATCCTAGCAGCTATTTTGTGGGACTGTGTACATGAACAGTTGAATTTAGAGAGTTTTGTATGAGTGCAGTGTTCAGCTCCCTAAGTATAATCTATATAAGCAAAACATCTGTGCCCCTGCATTTAGAAAAGAAGATTATCATTGTGCACTGATCTGAGTTTAAGGAAGAGACTGATGTGTTAGTCATCTGTCAACTTACTAAGCACATCTATTGCTACCATCCTTTCCTGATAAGACTTAAAGCACTTTGCTAATACTAATGAAGACAAGTCTCTGATTCTGTTTCTAACAAAAGGGGGTTTAAGTTCAATAGCCAGTTGATTTTTTCAGCACAGATGATAGATAATTGGGCATTTGAATGGGAAAAATGCAAATGTTCTTAATCTGTGAAATCCTGTTACATTTAATTCACTACAAATTTGACAGCTAGTATTATCTTCAATGAGAATGCACAAGTTTTCAGATCTTTCAGAATGAGATGGCTTAAAATTACATTCCTATCATAAAGTCAGTTTGGAACCCAGGTAGATGTGTCATTATTGGCCCAGCTCACTCATTAAAACTTCATTAACTCCTCTCTTAGTGCCAGTGCCTGTCAGCTGGTGATTTGACCTCTTACACCCAGCTGATGAGCACAAACCTCCTTTCCTTTCTCTTGCAGAACTTCTGCCCGTAATAAAAGCTCATGGGAACAAGCTGAGAAGCTATTAACGCTTTCCTTTCTTTCAGTCCGCAGCCGTGCCTTGCAGCCCACTGGTTCAAGTCTAGATTCCTTTTAGAGGAGATGAAACCAGAAAGTGGGCTCCAGCTGCATCCCGAGTCCACTTTGCATCCAAATGGAGGAACAGGGATCCAAATGAGAGGCTGGTCATTTGGACAGCTTCAAACCCTATATGTGGGTTCATTCTGTTCTGGAGCCTAGGCAACATTTGTGCCAAAGTTAAATCACTGAACCACACGTGTAAGCACAGAGGCTTCAGTGCTCCAGTATGTTCATCTGTTTCTGTCACACCAAAAACCTTGCTTACGTGGACATTTTCTGAGAATGTTGTGTTTGCAAGGAAGACAAAACCAATCAAGTCAGATGTTTGCATCATCCAAAGTTACTTCATTCGGCTTAGCAGGTCAGAATTTTATATTACAGCAGTTTAAATGGATTTGCAGCTTGTACACAAATCTCCTACGTGCTTAGAACAGTAAGGTTTTTAATTAGCTTTAGAAATGACTGATTTAAATAATTGGTTCTATCTGTCTTCAGAATGTTCCTGCACTTAAAACCCCAGGACAACCTCTCCCACCCTCAGCAAAAGGCACTTTGTCTTTTTACCTTCACATCTCTATTCACATCTCTACTGAAATCATTAGTATCTGTGTTGAGCTCATAAGTCAAATTTCATAACTCTGCATAAACAGAACTCTAATAATACATGGCTAAACTATTCACTTGTGACAGCACAACAGGAATCATTTAGTGATTTTTTTTTAAAATTGATATCGTATAGAGACAAATACGTAGAATTAAACTGGATTTGGATTTAGTGCTCTACAACTGCAGTGGTTTGGATCAAGGCTCAGTCTTGTACCTTATCCTGTCTGCAACAGTGAGTAGCCGTGACTTGCGGTAAAGCAGTGGACATATAGGAAAGAGTAAATCAAGGGAAACCTATATGATATTTATTCTCCAACTATTTGCAGTTCAGGCAATTTCCTGAGGCTGAGTGGTTTTGCTATTTAATAACTCTCAATGGATTTCTTTCCCACGTATTTCTCATCTTCCCTTGAATATGTTCAACCTCTTCCCAGAGTTCCATGTTTGCTACCTGTTGTATGAAGGTCCACCTTTTGGTTTTGTTTTTGTTTTTTTTTTAAACTGCCTCCTTCTGACTTCATTTGGTGA